ACAGTCACAATCTACAACAACAGTTGTTTTTTTTTTTTTCGGCTAAAGTGACCAGATTGGGGTTATAAAATCAAATACTTAACCTGTTTAGATTCATTTTGTAGTTTTGTCTTTAGTTTTCATATGATCTTAAAACTATTTTGTCTGTGTTTGCAAATGTCTGTATTGTGTTCCTATGGTAACTGCTGAACATTATGCCAACAGAGATGTAAGTAGAACACTTCCTGCATGTCTCCGCAAAGTATTAATAGGATTTCTGCAAAATGCCTAGACTGGAGTTTAAGAGCATGACAGGTTTTCATGTTTTTCTATCCATCCATCCATTTTCTTCTGCTTTATCCAGCAGTGTGAGCGGGGAGGCCCAGACTTCCCTCTTCACACACACTTCCTCCAGCTCTTCCAGGGGGATCCCAAGGGGTTCCCAGGCCACCCAAGAGACATAGTCTCTCCAGGGTGTCCTGGATCTAAGCTTAGTATTAGATTTTACACTGTACTTCACAAAAATTAAAACAATTAACAACTTACTAAAATCTTAAAGGGCCAATGTTATAATATTTTCTGTTCTGTGTTATAATAATGTAGTTTCCTCATCGCAAACAGACCTGGACTTGTGTTTTGTTTCATTCACATGTTTAACACTCAAACCCTGCATATTTAAGTTCTTCTCTCAAACAGAAAACACTCTGTTCCACCTTGTGATGTCATGCGGTAAAACAGGAAGTGCTCCACTGTGTGTGTTGTTGTTGTTTTTTAAACTCCATACACCTCTGGAACACCAGCTCTGGAATTGCCAATCTCTACTAAACTAAAGGTAAACTGTAACTGTTAACTTGAAAACTCAGACTTCATGACATCACAAGGTGGAACAGAGCATTTTAAGCTTTGTATGCAGACAGACTCATAATAAAGAATTACTCAAACATGTGAATGAAACAAAACACAACTTCAAGTCTGTTTTTGAGGAGGTAACAACATTCTAACATGACTTAAAGCTCAAATGAAATGTGGTTGAATTGTGAGCAGAGCCCACAGCGCAGAGCACACATCTCAGCCCAACACTGTGAGAGTTCGGGGTGAGAGTGTCGCGACCTCATTCGACCTCCGCTCCTCATCACTTCCTCGTTGGTTGCCATGGTGACGCTGACAGACGGCTCCACGGTGTCCCCAGAGGCCGATCGGGCAGAAAAAAAAACATCACTTATTGACAGCAGCGATCAATAACGTTCAGTCAGATTTAAAGAAGAAGAAATGTGAAGTGTTCCAGAAAAGGGGCAGTGTTTAGCTACATGTTTGTTTAATTTAAGGACTTTTTAATAACAATTTAAAGGCGCTGTACCTGAGTTTTGCTTTTTTAACATGTGAAAAACAGAACTAGTTCGCAGTGGTCCAAAATTATTCCGCGCTTACCTCATGTATTTTGATCATCTGAATGCTTCACCATGATGCAATTATTAGCACTTTTCACAACTTTCTGAGTCCAGAGTGAGGTTTTGCTGTCACAGTAAACCTAGCGACAACTAGCATGCTAACCGTGCACTTCAAACCGTACACAGAGACTGCGAATGTCCATGCCCAATATACAGTACCTGTACTGGTGCAAGACACATTTTGTTGTTCAGATATATGAAAAAGAAATTGGGTACAGGCCGTTTAAATGAAATTATACCAGAATTGACCAGAATTTTTTGTTTTTGTTTTTTTGTTTTTACTTTTTAAACTTTTTTCCATCCATCCATCCATTTTCTTCCGCTTATCCGGGGCCGGGTCATGGGGGCAGCAGTCTAAGCAGGGACTCCCAGACTTCCCTCACCCCAGACACGTCCTGCAGCCCCTCCCTTCAGCGTGTCCTGGGTCTTCCTCGGGGCCTCCTCCTGGTGGGACATGCCCGGAACACCTCCTGAGGGAGGCGCCCAGGAGGCATCCGGAACAGATGCCCGAGCCACCTCAACTGGCTCCTCTCTGAGCTCCTCCCGTGTGACCCTATCTCTAAGGGAGCGCCCAGCCACCCTGCGGAGGAAACTCATTTCGAGCGCTTGTATCCGTGATCTTGTCCTTTCGGTCATTACTCAGAGCTCATGACCATAAGTGAGAGAAGGAACGAAGACTGACCGGTAAATCGAGAGCTTCGCCTTTCGACTCAGCTCCTCTTCACCATAACGGTCTGATACAGCGACCGCATCACTGCAGACGCTGCCCCGATCCACCTGTCAATCTCACGCTCCATCCGCTCGTGAACAAGACTCCGAGACACTTGAACTCCTCCACTTGAGACAGGGACTTTTTTCTTTGCTACACAATTCCAATTCCATTCCATTGCTGTCCTCTGTATGTACACATGCATCCTGAATTTTGAACTTCCGGTCATCGCCCAATGCATACTGAGAAGGGCCCTCCGAAAAGATGAGCATCAAACCGCCATGTTTGATTTCCCAGTGGGATGTGTTTATTGACAAAGCTGATCTTTTCAAGTCTTTTGAACCATGTCGCTTTTGTTTCTGGTTCTGATATTGTCACATTTTAGTTATGGAATGTGTTGTTTGTTTCTTGGTGAACAGATGGTGCCTTTCGCTTTGGCATTGATTTTTAAAATTTGTAACCAGGGTAGATTGAGGGATCGGGGTTTTGTTTTGTTGTCACTCCACATACAAAATGTTCGCTGCAAACTTGGGATGATTTAGGCAGCCAAAGTTTATCTTTTTCATCGTTCCTGTGGATCATTACTGCCCATCGCCTTCACCTTTCACTATTTTTCAATTCCGTTGGGAAACAGTTTGAACAGAGGTTTGCATTCACACAGATCTGATTCTCTTTTGCATTTATGGAGTTCAGAAACACATTTCTCGAGTCGTTTTCTGCCGTTAGGACATCCAACAACCACACAATTACAATGTCTGAATCCCAAAACTAAAATATGACAATATCAGAACCAGAAACAAAAGTGATATGGTTCAAAAGACTAGAAATGATCGACTTTGACAATAAACGCATCCCACTGGGAAAACAAACTTGGCACTTTTTTGGAAAATCCTTCCCAGTATGCATTGCGCAATGACCGGAAGTTCAAAATTTGAGATGCATGTATAGAAAATGTTGAAAGTAGTAAACATAAATAAATAAAAATAAATAGATAAATAAATAAATGAGATGGTGTGTCCAAACTATTTTTTCTCTCACAAATTTTTTTCCATAAACTTTCATTTAAAAACATATATTTAAAAAACACAAAATCAATCAGTGTATTTAAAATCTGTTTCTTTATTAAAACATTGCACAGAATCTTGAGGTTTAAATGTGTTTTTGGACTTAAAACATCTGAGTTATGGATATTAGTTAGCAGCATGTAGCTGGTTAGTCCCAGTCATGTCTATGAAATATTAAGCTTTTTCTGTGGTCTATGTGAAAAATGTATGTAAATGAATGAAACGGTAGTTCCAGAACCAGATCAGGTGGCTACGGTTGAGCTCCATTTCAAGCATTTAAACAAGACACGGAGCATGTTGACAGTAGAATATAGTAGTAGGGTCCAGGGGTAGAAAGTAACTCATTTCAAATACTCACGTTACTGTAATAGAGTCAATTTTTGGGGTAAACTGTACTTGTAGTAGACTGTCAAACCTGTAATTGTAGTAGAAATTACTTGCCTGACACAGCCACAATAACCCATAATTCCTGGCACAGTTTTGTTTATCGGTACTAGTGATCCTTACTAGTGTCCTTAACTAGTCCTAAACTGCACTACAGTACTCTGTGTGCTGACTGTCACTGTTTGATCTCGAGCTCGTCAGGTGATGAAAATTTGGCAGCAAATGTAAATACGTCATATAATTATTTAAATATAAATACTTTATATAAATATTATTTTTTATTTTAAAAATAAATAAATAAAAAATAGAAGGTGCAGACATTTTATTATTTGCCAAAAAAGAGGATTGCTTCATAGGGCCAGTTCAAGTGGTGAGAGGCAGAGGGGGCTGGGGGGCTGGTCAAAGTTAGTTTGAAGACCCCTGCTTTAGTCTGTCTACATCTCCAAAGCTCAAAATGCTCTGTCCACCTTGTGATGTCACGAAGCAGCAATTTTCAAGTTAACAGCTACTTTTTTACCTTTAGTTCAGTAAAGATTGGGAATTCGGTGTATAGAGCTTAAAGGGGATAGTTTGGTTTTTTTTTACATGAATCTGTATGTCATCCCCGTAAACAGTGTCGTGCATCCACACTGACTTACCCCCGAAAGCATCTGGCGAGCCGAGATACTGGCCGTTTTTGGTGCTGACGAAAGTAGTCCAGCAAGTTGGCTGGGGATATTAAAATAAAGCGTTTTTCTTCTCAAAGCAATATGTGTTCAAAAGAGTGATACATTTGCATCACAAAACCTTCGTCCTCAAAAAAATCAGACCTCATAATCACTTGGCACTATTTTCTCTCCGTTCGTATCACTGCGTTGTTTTTTTTTTTCATGTCAAAAAACCCGAACTATCCCTTTAAAAACACAGTGGAGCACTTCCAGTATTACCACATGGCATCACTAGGTGGACCATTTATGTATTAAACATGTGTGAAAAAAACTACTACTACTACTACTACTACTACTACTACTACTACTACTACTACTACTACTAATAATAATAATAATAATAATAATAATAATAATAATAATAACAGAACTCCAGGTATGTTTGTGTTAAGGATACAGCATTATAACATAAAATCAGAAAATTGCATAATATGAGCCATTTAAATAAGAGGTTACTGAGTATTGTACAGGCCCCAAACCACAACTCTCTCCGCTTCTTTACCAACAAACACACGTTACAGCTGTAAATCAAAAACAAAACAACCTGAGGGCCAATACAAACCAGTCTGAGGGCCACGTTTGACCGCGGGGACATAGTTTGGACGCCCCTGGATCGTGGTGAACTACCCCCATCTAGTGACCACATCTCAGTATTACACAAAATGGGCGTTCTCCTGCGTCATCACGTCACGTCTGCGTCTTTACGTCTGTGGACTTTCGCCTCTCACACCCACGCCGTGAAGTCTGCAGCCGGAGTTAAGCACAAAAAACAACAATTTCTGCTAAATAACTCAACTTAACAAGGTATTAAACGTGCACATATAGTTAAACTTTACGTGTGCACAACCTGTAATGTTTATACGTCCCGGGAACGTGTGTTTTTTGCAGTTCAAACAAATAGCTAACTTGCTAAGTCCTATTCAACCATACATTCATCGCATATGTCGGATAAAAAATTGCAGAATATTGTGTAGCATGGTTTCAGTGCGAGGGTGAGTTTGTGTTTGTGATTTATGGGTGTGCACGTTTTGTAAAAGTTTTCAGGCACTGATTTCATTCTTTTTTCGTGAGATTGAGAAGGACGTTGTGTGACAGACCGCTAGACGCATGCGCAGAAGTCGTGAATGAAATGTCCATTTGGGAAAAAAAAAAAAAAAAAAGTGGAAAAAACTGCTGTACAAATATAGAAATTACACCTATATGAAGAAGAGACATTTAAATAAACTTGAATTATAGCACCAGGTATAGAAAATTAGCTGGTTATAGTTCAAATTACTGTCTCTCTTTTATAATAATTTAAATTTACTTAATACAATTTTTAACAAGTCAGTTCAAATCTCACTTTAAACCTAAATATCATGGGTAGAGAGGTCAAATCCATTAACCCACAGGTTGGCGGTGCAATTCCTGCCCCCACAGATGAATCCTGTTGTTGTGTCCTTGGGCAAGACATTTAACCCACCTCATCCCCGATGTCCTGGTGTATGTATGAATGTGTGTGTGAATGAGGGCGTGGTTCTTTGATATAAAATGTGTTGGTGCCTTGCTTATAGAAATGTGTGCATTTATTTACCATTTTAAAGTTAGTTTTAGTCAGTTGCAGCCCTAGTTATTGCATATTTGCTTTGTTACCGTAATGCTTGTTGTGGTAGTTGCTAATATTTGAACTTTTGCAGATCCAAGATGAAGGAAGTATCTTCAAACAAATGTGCTGGAGGTTTCCAGAAGGTCTTTGAACACGAGAGGTGAGGTGACCTTTTTGTTTGCCGAAAATGCTGTAATATATTCTTAAAGATGTAATATTCAGTTAATATAAACACATTGCCCCACACTTAAATCACAAATGTATTATCTTGAAAACACTCCAAAAATCAACAGAAAAAGCAGATTCAAAGTATTCTATTTTTATTTTCACTTTTTGCCCTTAACTTACAAAGCTTTACATTTTAAATCTTGTGCCCTACATCCTAAATGTAGAGCACTTTACTCACAAAATGCAGGCCTGTGGTGGTGAGAAGAGAAAGATCTATAACATGGTTAAGAACTCTTCCAACAACTTTATAACAACAACAAAAAACCTTTGTATACAAATCAGGTTAATTAGTGAATCAATTTTTAAGGTTTTATCTGTTTTTTTTCTCATTTGATTTCACACTCCTTACTTATTTATTGTATTGTTTTTGTTAAGCGCTTTGAGATGTACGTTGTGCAGTATTTTGATTTTTACGAGTTGAAATCATTTTGTTTATAGCACTGAGCTGAAGTGTAAGATGAAGTTTGCAGTGTTCCTTCCTCCAAAGGCAGAGACACAGAAGTGCCCCGTACTGTACTGGCTCTCAGGTCAGTCACCGAGGAGGTTTTATGATGCTAATCAAGATTAATCAATAATTAACTAACTGACAAGCAAAATTAAATCACTTTATTTAAATGTAAATTAGAATTTTCTATGTAACTGTCAGATGGCAGATTTGTTGACCTGGTTTATGATTAATATCTCTGTCATTACTGAGACTATTCACATTCATCATAGTTTCAGAAAGTGGTGCCAATATTCAACTCCAAAGATGTACTTGTAGAAAGGAGCCATGAGATTAATGTAAGTTTGTGGAGCCGATCCCAAACAAATAATGAGAAGGAGAAGCATTTCTGGATCATAAGTTTGGATATTTATTAAAAAAGAGTAAATCTCCCATAGAGTTATATAGACTCCTGCCCTCTGTTTGAATTCTAGAAGGTAAACGCTGCCTGTTGCACCTCAGATGTAATCTCCTGTAGCAGCCTTGTTTTGTTGTTGTTTATGTTGTGTTCTCTCTTCAGGGCTCACGTGCACAGAGCAGAACTTCATCACTAAAGCCGGCTCTCAGCTCGGAGCCGCTGAACACGGACTCATCCTGGTGGCTCCAGACACCAGCCCACGTGAGTGCAAACCAGTGATGGAAGAAGTATTCAGTTTGGTTGCTTAGTAAAAGCACAGATACCAGAGCAAAGAAATACTCAAGTAAAAGTAGGTATCACATGAAAAGAAAAAAAAACAACTTAAGTAAAAGTATTAAAGTGCTGTTTAAAAATGTACTTAAAGAGTGAAAAGTATAAGTATATCACACAGATTTTGAGATCTAATGAACATTAAAATTTAGTGATTTTAAGATAGATTTGTGCTGAATTTTGCATCAGCCCATTTTTGCTTGTTGTTTTTAGTTGTCTATTTTTGTTTGCTCAAACTATGAACATAAAAATTGAAAATAAAGGCTCAAACTATAATAAGAAATACTTTTCTTTTCAGTCCTGTTCAAAAATGTAGAAAAATAGAAAGTACAGATACCTGCTCTCAATTGTAGTGAAGTAAAAGTAAAAAGTATACACTTTAAAATCAACTCAAGTACTGATAACTAAAATTTATACTTAAGTACAGTACTTATCCAAAGTAAAACATAATGATCCATGGGTAATAATAACTGTAGTAACTTTATATCAGACAAAGCTTTAAACTTTTCCATCTCATATTAACTCAATTAGAAGCTTTTACTGGAAAAAATATTGGTGATTCTTGTATTAGTTAGTTTAAGAGTTTTCTGTCAAATGTTAATGCTTCTTGCACTGTGAACTGAATATTATTATGAAAAACAATATTGAAGATCGAATCATTGTTAAAATACTTAAAAATGTAAGCCATACATAGTTCCGTAGCACTTTTCTTACTTTTTCCTACGTTTCCCATGATGCCGCAGGTGGGTGTAACATCGAGGGGGAGGACGACGGCTGGGACTTTGGGACCGGAGCAGGTTTTTATGTGGACGCTACTCAGGAGCCGTGGAAGAACAACTACCGCATGTACTCCTATATCACAGACGAGGTACACGGGAGAGGGCTGAAAGATTAGCCACTGCTCTGTCAGAAAAACAGAGATACAGAGTAGTTTTGAGAGATTTTGTCATGCCCTGGTTCTGTTTTTCACATTCTTAAGACGGTACCATTGTGATTCTCTTGACTTCTGTGTATGTGTTTGTGTTTTAGCTGCCCAAGCTGATCAACGCTAACTTCCCCACTGACCCTGAGCGCGTGTCCGTCTTCGGACACTCCATGGGGGGGCACGGGGCACTTATCTGTGCCCTCAAGAACCCAGGCAAATACAAGGTACTCCTCTTTACACATGTATGCAAATGGGAGATGGTGACCGACATTAATATATTTTATGGTAACACTTTATTTTAGGGTATACTTATTAACATCTAACTACCTTGTAATTAGCAGAGTTGTAGATGATTAATTTGTTATTAGTTAGACTTTATAAACACTGTCTATTAATACATTCCTTATTGCTGTTTATTAGTTTGATAATATCCATTTTTGTCCATGAATTATGATTCTAATAAGCTTTTGAGTAATAAGCGTGTTGTTAAGGACTAGTAGCACAAGAAATGTAGTTTTTACTTACTGTATTTTCCGCACTATAGGGGCTCTGGATTATAAGGCGTACTGTCATAGAATGGTCAATTTTCAAAGTTTTTTCACAAATAAACCACACTGGACTTTAAATGAAACACAACAGTTGGATGGGTCAGTGGGACTTTGTTTGTGGCGTTCACGGTGACTCTGGGCTTTGTTCAGTTGTGGCGTGTAGGGAGGGTGTTGTCTGGGACCAACGGATTGTCGGCGTGTTCACAGTGACTCAGTTGTTCAGTTGTGTCTAGAAGTGGCACATTGAACTTTTCGGTTCGTTCCTCCGTTCCGTTCCTCATCGGCGTGGAGTGATGAGTGTGTCTGTGGGTGTTTTTCGCTGTGCGGTCGTTGTCTGCTCCGTGTGCGCTGTAGGTGGTGCGGCTTTGTAGTTTACTGAAGTCGTGCTGGGACACCCGAGTGGATTCGTGTATAGGGCGCTCTGGATTGTGGGACGCGCAGTTGTTTTTTGATGGGGTTGGAGGCTTATAAGTGCGCCCTATGGTGCGGAAAACACAGTATTTGCACTTAAAAAATATTGCTTACTCTTATAATATAAAATAATGAAACCCTGTCTATTCAGTGTTAATTCATGGCTAGTTGGGCTCTATTAAGTCATTAAGCTCTAAATATGTCCCCCATTCTAAAGTGATGTTTTGATCGTTAATAAGTGACGAGTTTGACACAAATTAAAATGAAATATGGTCACTATTCTATTGCGGTCTTTTCTTCACACTTAATTTATGCATTGTGACATGCAGATTAATAGTTCATAATTGAACAGGTAGTTGTATAAAACAATTCATGAACAAAAATGGCTTAGTATCAAACTAATAAGCAGTAATAAGGAGTGTATTGAAAGTGTTTGTAAATGTCTAATAACAGAAAATTTTATGGGGAAGTAGACATTAATAAGGGCTGAATAAATACTAACTCATGACAAATTAACCATCTACAGCTATGCTAATTAGCAGGTTGTTAGACGTCAATATGTGTACCCTAAATTTTATTTTTTATTTTTTTTGCATAATCTGGATGACTATTAATAATAATAACTAATAATGCAGCAGGAATGTGCTAAAATGTGTTTGTAAATATCTTAGTTGAGGTTCAAGTCTCGCAAAACAGGAATGGAGCAGAAAATGAGCCACAAAAGTGCAGAAATGTCTCTCTATTTCCATGTTTGGGAGATTACACTGCCTTTTTTTGTTATTTTAAAATAGTTGTATTAATATACATAATGTTGACAGAGACACAAAGGCCACGCAGCTGTAACAGTTTGCTGCAGTAAAACTTGATGGTGTTATGATTTGAATGGTGGCGCGTGCAGACGTAGCGGCCCCTCGCTCTCCCAGTCTACACATGGGACAGAGAGAACATTATTTAGATTCTTTTGTACGTCTAGAACCTGTGAAGAAATTGACAATAAAGCTTTTAACTTTTGAACTTTGAACTCACCTGCAAGATTCCATGGAAATAGAAAGTTAAACCCATGCTTGGGTACTATCTCCATGGAGAATGTTCGTAAGTACAGATATGTAATGTATATGATGCCATATTATTATAACAGGCCAATTATAAAGAGTATAGCCAAAGGAACATTTCCATGGAAACAAACAGGAGGCCAAGGAAGAATCAGGTTTGTGGAGCTACGACTCCGCCCAGAGTAAAGGTGCTTGTTTTTCTGTTTTTCATTGCAATAAACGCAACCAGACAAATGGAAAAAGTAACATATTGTAGCTTTAATATTAATATATAAATAATATGACTATGTACCTCCATAACAACAATTGCAATACATTCCAATTTTCAATATTTCTCCTGCTTCACAAAATATCCTGTCTACATCTGTATGAAACGTCTCCTGCTGCTCGTGTGTGTGTGTTTTATTTGTGTGCGTTGTGTTTCAGTCTGTGTCTGCGTTCGCTCCCATCTGTAACCCCATGCAGTGTCCCTGGGGTCAGAAGGCTTTCTCCGGATACCTGGGCCCTGAGCGCTCCACCTGGGAGGTACTCATCACTTCATTACATCATTACAATCTCTGTCATTTAGACGCTCTGGTGGAATTTACTGTTTAACTTCTCCTCCATTCTCTCCTCCTTCTTCTTTCTCCCTTCCTTTCTTTCCCTACCTATCTCTTCCTCTCTCCCTTCTGTCTCCCATCTTTCTTACTTCTCTTCTCCTTTCTCTTCCACCCCCTAATTTCTCCTTGTCTCTTTCATCTCCTCCTCCTCTCTTCCCAACCGCGCTCTCTCCCTTTACCCCCTCTCTTCACCTCTCTCCCTCTCTTCTCCTTCATCCTATCTGTGCTCCGTTATCCTCTCCTCTCTCGACCTCTTTTTTTATCGCCTTTCGCCTTCCTCTCTCCGCCTGCCTCTCACTCTCCCTCTTTTTCCACCACCACTCCCATCTCTCCTCCCTCTCTCTCCCTCTCCTTTCCCCTTCTCTCTCTTCCTGTCTCTGCCACCCTCTAATATCACCTTGTCTCTTTCCTCTCCTCCTTCTCTCCTCAACCTCACTCTATCCCTTTACCTCCTCTCTTCACCTCTCTCCTTCTCTCATCTCCTCCTCTCTCTCCCTCTTTTCTCCTCCATTCATCCTCTTTCTCATTCCTTTTCTCATTTCTTCATCCACCTCTCTCTCTCTCTCTCTCAACCCCTCTCTCCTCCTCCACTCCCATCTCTCCTGCCCTCTCTCTCCACACCCTCTCCCTCCCTCTCCTTCTGTCTCTGTCTCTCCCTGTCTCCCGTGGTCTCTCTTTCTCTTCCCCACTCTGTCTTTCTCTCTGCCCCTCTCTCCGTCTCTCCCTCGCTGTCTTTCTCTCTGTCCTGCTCTCTTTCTCTCTCTCTCTGCCTTTCTCTCTGTCTCGCCATCTCTTTGTCTTTCTCTCTCTCTCTCTATCGCTCTCTGCCCCCCCTCATCTCTTTCTCTCTCTCTGTCTCTCTCTCTCTCTGTCTCTTTCTCTCTCTCTGTCTGTCTCTGTCTCTGTCTCTGTGTGTGTCAGGCGTACGATGCCACAGTCCTGGCCGCCTCATACTCTGGTCCTCAGTTGGACGTCCTCATAGATCAGGGCAAAGACGATCAGTTCCTGTCGGCGTCTCAGCTGCTGCCCGACAACCTCATCGCCGTCTGCTCCGAGAAGAAGATCCCCGTGGTCTTCAGACTGCAGCCGGTGAGGAACTCTGCTCTTTGCACTAAAACACACCTCACGGACACATGCAGGGTTTGGCAAAAGTATCGACAATCAGATACTAATCAGTACTAAAACTCATACCGATACTCATACTCATATTTCGCAGGTATTGATACTAAAAACACCCATTCACAGGACAGAAATGAACCTCATATTAACGTCACATATGAACAGTTCTTCAGATAACTACAGCATAAACAACAGAACATAAGTTTACCAAACTCTCTATCTCACTCCAAATCACTAAATTCATTCAATTCTTCATCCTCGGTGTCACTTCTGAGCAACTCCGCACAACTTCGGTTGTCACTGAAGTCCAGGCTTTGTCCATCCATCCATTCTCAAGGTATTTCTTTAGCAATAAAACTGGACAAATACAAAAAGCAAAACGGATAAAACTGATGCCATGCAGTGGAAATTTCCAAGTGCGGCAATAAGATCTCCATAGAGACGAGAAGGTGGCAAACCCTCCACCAGAAAAGTTCCGTAACAGTGAGTTTAACCATTCTTGTTCTTTTTCCTCCTGCAGGGCTACGACCACAGCTACTTCTTCATCTACTCCTTTATGAACGACCACATCAAACACCACGCCAAGTTCCTCAACGCCTGAACTCTCAGATCCACCGTCTGGACCAGGGTCTAAACAAAGAACTAAATCAGAACTTTCTGTGACAATTTGGTAACTCCAAAATCAAAGACAATTTTTACACCAACCACAAAATAATCTCACAAAAATAAACACTTTAAATGGCCTATATTATGCTATTTTTTTGATCTGTGTTCTAATGTTTCCTCATCACAGACAGACCTGGGCTTGTGTTTACTTTCATTCACACAGGTTTTCATGAGTTTGACTCGGTTTGGTGGGAGAGTACCTGTGGTGAATGTTCGTGTAAGTTTTACATCAGTTAAGTGACATCATCAACAACAACAAAAACAGTTCAACCTAAAATGCAGGAACATTTCTATTAAACATTGATTCAACAAAATAAAGGTGTCCTCTAGTTTTATTTGTCTGATCATGACTATTGTGGTTTTGGTCCTTTTTAACATTACGGTTGCTAGGTAACAGTTATGGAAGTACCTCTACATTTGTCACATCTGCTGCCCGTGTCCAACCAAAAAGTAAAATTATAACAAGACTTTTGTAAAATCTTGAATATGACGACAACTGTATGTGTTAAAGGACCCATATTACTCTATTCTGATCTATGTTTTAATGATGTTTCCTCACCACAAATTCAGACCTGGAGTTGTTTTGTTTCATTCACATGTTTAACACACAAACCTGCACATTTAGGCTGAGCTCTTCTGTCAAACTGAAAAAGCTCTGTTCCACCTCGTGACATCATGAAGCAATACAAGAAGTGCTTCACTGTGTTTTTAAACTCCATACACCTTCACTAGAATCATTTGGATCATTTCAGCCCCATCAACCCCATAAAACATGCACCACAGGTTAAATCAGGGGTCATCAAACAAAGGCCCGCGGGCCGACTTCACGCCCCTTTCACTGGCCCCCAGCCCCTCTACCTCCCACCACATGAACTGACCCTATGAGGCCTCAAAAGTTGTCATGGTCTATTTTTTTTACTTACTTTTTGGCAAATAATAATATAAATAATATATTTATATGATGTATTTACATTTGTCACCGAATTTCCGTTACCTGACAAGCTCGAGATCAAACAGTGACGGTCAACACACGCAGAGTTCTGTAGTGCAGTAAAGAACAGCAAAATGGCAGGTGTTAAAGTACAAAAGCTTGACAGAAAGTGCGGAGTTTTGAAAGAACAGAGGACGACTGATATTTTTTGTTCAGTGTAAGGAGCGTCCAGTTTGATATGTAAAGAAAGTGGCAGTTTTCAAAGAATATAATCTGCGTCATCAGGGTCAAACAATCCTGTTATACGACCGACCCAACCTTGGCTCATCACAGTCAGGAGCCATAATGTGGCCCCCAGAGAAAAAGGTTTGGTGGCCCCTGGGTTAAATCCTCCAACTCCAGTCCTGACCAAGCCTAGGAACAAGATCATGGAGATTTAAGGTTTTTAAAACCACGTGACCTGGTGTTTATGCCGCCATATTGGAGATCAAACTATCCATCTGGACAAATGTGTAGTATTTGTGTGTGATAACATTTGAATTGAATAACATTGGTTTTGACCTGTGCTGCTATTGGATGTTCTGGCCGGAGTCAATCTGCTAAAGAAGGAGGCCTAAGTATCTATCGATCGGATCCCAGCTGATAAAGATCGTGGACATAAAAAGAGGGATGGAGCCCACTGAGTACAGTCGTCTGTGCAGGCAGCATTTCATTTCTGGGGAGGGACTCCACACAAACTAATAAGGGATTTACACTAAATGAAATGATACATACCAGAAGTATTTTTGTCTCATAGGTATGAAGAATGATACCCCACTTTCACCAGATTACGTCCCATCATTATTCATGTACAACCCACCGCCAGTGTAACACAAAGCAAAATGTTCACTTATTTCCTATGAATGAAGATCTAACATGAAAAAACAGATATAGAAGCATGCGTTGATTAAACTAACAAAGCGTCCATTGGAATTAGATGGGGATTTATTCCACAACCCAGGAGGACGACATTAGCTTTATACCTTTCTAATGACGCTGGTCTAACAAGCTGGTGATTTCAGGACAGTTTTATGTTGTTTGCGCCGTTTAAAGTCGCCATGATTATATTGTAACTGAATAACACCATCCAGATCAACCCCAACCTTGACCTCCTGACCATATGACTGCCAAAACATGAAATCACGTAACTGCCACGTCACATGCAAATCCTCAATTGGTCCTCCGGGGCGCCCCACGTGCTGCCCACTGCTCCTGGACGGATGAGTGAAATGCAAAGGAGAATTTCCCTACAGGGATAATAAAAAGTACTGCAAAAAATAAATTAAAATGTTTGGCAGATCAGCAGTTACAACCAGCTGCCTGTAAGTGACATGGATGCGATTAGAGTCACGTTCTCCATGAAAAACTTCTGCTGGGCGATGGTTTCATCACATCGGAAGTCCTCATCCACTTCCAAACGTCTTCCGGTAAACGTGAAAAGAGCCTATTTCACACTCTGAATTTGAATGAGGCTTGAAAATATTTGTGCCGAATATTTAAAAAGTGAGTTTTCTATTTAGAATTTTTAAAAACACTTAAAATGTACACTTCAGAATAAACAATTCAAACATGTTTTTTTCAGAGTTAAAAAATTCTAAGTGAGAAATTCAGCGTTACTTAAAATTCAAAATCTGATAGACCAAATGATCTTCATAAACATGCGACTGTTATTATGAGCCACTTGTGTTTTTGAAGAGAATAAAAAGTCCACACTCAGCTTTAGCACTTTTACTGTGCAGTAGTTTACAGTATTTACAGTATTCACAGCAGGTTAAGGCCACATCAAAGGGGCAGTCATGCAAGCACATCTCTGTACGAGAAAACTCTTGGTATGAAAGACAGTTTTTACATCAACCACAAAATAATATCTCTCACAAAAATACAAAAAATAAACACTTTAAAAGGGATGATATTACTCCGATATTATGTTTCCTCATCACAAACAGACCTGGAGTTGTGTTTTGTTTCATTCACACATTTAGATCTAGATTTAGGATCTTTTCTCTAACAGAAAACACTCTGTTCCACCTTGTGATGTCATGCAGTAATATAGAAAGTGCTCCACTGTGTTTTTAAACTCCATACACTTTCACTAGAATCATTTTGGAGCGGGTGGTACCACAGGGTGTCGCTGCTGGGCCACAGACAGGCAGAATTTAAGGGGAAGATGGTGTGGATGTGTTTGACCACGGATATTGGCAGGTTTTAAATCGTTTGCGTTGTGAATGTGAATGAGGATGTGTTTTTGTAAATTACTTGTTTGTGTTAAGGCGGTCGTGCCGTTTTTAAAAGCTGAGCCGTGCATAAAATACCCAATGACCCACGGGTTATGTACTTGGGCTTGTTGCATGAAAACAACATTCAAACAGAGGACTTCTATTTGTTTAAAGTGATGCTCTTGGCTAGTAAGAAAGTAATTACACTGTAATTACTTTCTTTATATCTTTATATCTGTCCATTGCTGTAATTATTACAGCAATGGACAGATATAATAGAGGAAATTTATGGGATGGAAAAAATAACCTATTATTTGAGACTGAAAGCTGCTAAATTTGAAAAGCGATGGTCCAAATGGTCTATTTGCAAAGCTCACTCAAGTGCATGAGGTATTTATTTTTCTTTTTGTTCTTTTATGTACATTTGTTAAAATTTTGAAAAAGCACAAATTTTTAAAAAAAGAGAAAAGCTGAGCTGTGCAGCGGGGGAACTCTGCGTGGAGCTCACGATGCACAGATAGCTACATTTTTAAGTTTATTAAAATTTCTCCAGCCTGTTTAAGTGTTTTTTGTAATTTTGCATTTTTGTGTTTACAGTTACAGTCACTGTCCCTGCTGACCTTTAGTTGTTTTTATTTTTGAGTTCACTAGTTGGCTTATTTTCTTTTATTTTTTTGTTTTGTTTCCGGTCACTCCCCCTCCCAAAACGCCTTACCGTATTTTCCGTACTATAAGATTATATAAACCGCACCCGAATTTAAATGAAACCCAACAGTGTGATGGGTGAGTGGTTTTGTTTGTTTGTCACATTCACGGTGACTCTGGGCTTTGTTCAGTTGTGGCGTGTAGGGAGGGTGCTGTCTGGGACCAACGGATTGTCGGCGTGTTCGCAGTGACTCAGTTGTTCAGTCGTGTCTAGAAGTGGCACATTACACTTTTTTCGGTTCGTTCCTCTGTTCCGTTCCTCGTCGGCGTGGAGTGATGAGTGTGTCTGTGGGTGTTTTTCGCTGCGCGGTCGCTGTCTGCTCCGTGTGTGTTTGCGTGTTCTCCGGGTGGTGCGGGTTTGTAGTTTAGTGAAGTCGTGCTGGGACACCCGAGTGGATTCGTGTATAGGGCTCTGGATTGTGGGGCGCAGTTGTTTTTTGATGGGGTTGGAGGCTTAAGAGCGCGTCCTATAGCCCAGAAAATACGGTATGTCCATTCCTCTTAAATAAATGACCTAAACCTAGACATAAATCCCCGACTCCGTATTCTTACTACCAGGGCTATAACAATTCGGATGATTTCAGATTTGGAACTGCCCATTTCTATCAAACTAAATGCAAATAGTAGCTGTTAACTTGAAAACTACCACTACATGACATCACAAGGTGGAACAGAGCATTTGGAGTTTTGAAGACACATACAAACTAATAAACAAGGATTCCTCAAACGTGTGTGAATGAAACAAAACACAACTCCAGGTCTGTTTTTGTGGAGGTAACAACATTTTAACATGACTTGAAGCTCACAAGAGTCAATTTTGTGTAATATACGACCGATATACTTTACTTTTAATTCATTTGTATGTTTTTGTAACTCTAAATAAATTCACCAGCAGATCCTTTTGCAATAATAACCACTGAGGATCAATGAAACTAGTCCCAAAGATTTCCCAAACCAAGATTAAACTTCTAAGTTTGCCGTTTTAGCTCCGATATCTTTTTGGAAGAGTTACATTAAGGTGCAGGAAGTAAGAAGGAAATATTGTATTAAATGTATTGCTTTTTCCCCGTAGCACTGCACAGGGCATGGACTCAGATGTAACAAAAAAAACGTTTATAGATGCTAATTTCTTACAAGAACAAATCATTATATTATTTGGGGTCACATGACATCTCAACAGTTTCCACGGAGATCCCAGAAAAGCTACGTCGTGCAGCTTTAGGGGTTCTACGTCTACAGCTGGATTTCCTCTCCACGGCTCAAAGCAGTTGGTCCCACCTCACCTCGCAGCTAATCCACTGTCAAAATGGCTCGTGTTTTTGTTAAGATTGTCTTTACAGGTCTTTGGACACAACACTTCACTAAAGTTGCACACCAAAAAACTAAAAATATATATTAATATAGTTTTTTTTACCCAATTTAATAAACAGATATGAACATGTTTTCCTAAAAAGTGGAAAATATTTCTCATTTATATACACAGTTCTGTTTCCAATTTCGTAACATTTTAAGAAAGCTTTTCCAAATGCTCCTTTACTTTTAAAACAATATTGATTTACTAAAAGTGAATTAAAAACAAGGGGCTGATCGTATAAATATAGATTTTTAGGGATGGTACAAGATCTCGCGAGACAAAATCGTTCACACAAGAGACGAAACAAACTTCTGAGATTTTATTTCATGTTGTTGGTTGGATGAAAAGGGTCACATGTTGGTGAGTTGCGTTAACCAGTTTGGCGCCACCTAGTGCCTCCGCTCAATTTAATTTCTCTCCAGAAACTAAATCAGAAATCGGAATACACAAGACGGTTTGCAAGAACTCCAGAAGTCTGGGCACCAGCCAATCAGTGAAGAGCCATAGATTCTGTGTTGGCAACAATTCCCAAGATCGAGGATTTAAAGACGGAACAAAGAGAATGTTGGGTGAATTTTATCAAGGGGAAAGATGTTATTGCCCTTCTTCCTACAGGATTTGGCGCATTACATAAGTCACGACCAAATAGCAGTGATTCGTTAAATGGCCCATCTCATACAAAATAACTCTTTTCACATTGTATCTTCTGCACATAAACAAGGACAATTTGGGTTTTGGAACATCCATTACACAATAGTTCTGAAATCTTACTGATTTCTTGGAGATACTCACAGACCAGGAATTATGACAGGCCGACTATTGCTCATCCCCCCCCCCCATCCTGAGAAAGCACAGGCTCCGCCCTCCAAACGTGATGTAGGCTCATGAATCTATTAAAATAACTGGATACAGTGTTGCTGCTTGTAGCTGCCTCCAGTTGACGTAGTGTCACTCACTGGTTCTACAGCGGAAAAAATCCCATGGGCCGAGAGAAGATTTTTTTCATAGAGGCAATGTAATCACATCATCTACAACTTTAAAAAATGTCGGATTTTGTGGTGATTTTTACCTATTTTTAGATCATACGCTTTTTCTCAGCTCAAAATCCTTCAGTTGTCTTAACAAACGCTTTATAATCATTAGCTCCGGCTCCGCTCTGCTCCGCTCTAGCTCCTCTCACTCTGATTGGTCAAAGCGAGCACGTGATACACGAACTCGTGCACCGTGCGTGCGTTCGCATGCATTCGCATGTGCCCGCGGGAGAAAAAGAGCACTACTGCACATGCTCGGTCGGCCCACAGCCACCGGAAGTAGGCTAGGCTAATCTGGGATCATGCGCCATTGAGCTCGGCCCATTGACATGAATCGGCGGCCATTTTGGAACCTGGGGGTTTGCGTAGGCTCTGAGTGAGCCGCCCTTCCTCCGCCCATCTCAGGGAGGGAGGGGGAGACAGACGTGCACCCTGACAGTGGTAGAAATAAACTTTTATTCATCATGGAGATACAGCGCGTTCAGCCGCATGTGTTGGACCTGGAATCGGACGAGGACTTTGAGGTGCACGAAGCTCAAGCACCGCGTCGACATCAGCTGAACATTACTGATTGGTAAAGTATTAATAAACACTAGTAGATCAACTTATTATATTGTGCACACTGCAGTCAGGGTGGAGGCGGTGGAGCGGGGCGGGTGTGTTTTCTTCTACGTCAATCGCGTCATAGGTGTATCTGCCGTGTCATCGTTGTAGCAGCTTTAGTTCATTGTCACGTGGAAGGGTGGCAGAAATACGCTGCAATTTGTTAAAAAAAAAACGCTGGATCAATCTAAAAAAACACTTCGGCGACAAATACAAGGCCCACACATCACTCTTAGAAAGCAGAAAGCTCGGAAAAGTTGATTTTGCATGAGATGGGCCCTTTAAATAAAAAAAGCATCCGCCTACCGTCGAGCGAACGAATCCTAATGCTGTGAGGTCAGACGGTTTCCACGAAGTGAAACCATCAGGCTACATTTGCGTCTCTTACAGTTCCAAAAAAGCAGCACTAGAATGGAAACGAAACTATGAAATAAAATAACAAAACTGTGAGCCCGAAACTGGAAACCAAACAGTGAAATTTACATATTAAGAATTATATTAAAATCTCGTCTCGTCTCGTCTTGTGGAAATTTTGTCTCGTCCCATCCCTGAATATTTCGCACTCAATTAATTAAAACTATTCTTTGTTTTCCATTGGCAACTAACAGGACATTTTGGAAAGCCTTAAGATTTTTGGAAAAATACAAGTTACAAATGACCAAATTTGCAAAAAAGTTGATTTTGTGCTTGCATATTTTAAAAGCATTTTGCATAATTTACATGTTTTTTTTCCTGCTCGTGACATTATAAAACAAAATCTAACTGAATAAATAAAAACATGAGACCCATTTCTTGGATCAAAAATTGCTCCCAGTCATTTCATCCCAGTTTCTGTTAAGATTAAAGATGCACTGTGTAACTTTTTGGTTGGGGGTCTGTCACCTGCTTGTTTCTATGGAGATGTCATTGTTCTTCCTGGAATGTTCCACAGTGTGACATTAAACAGCTCTACTTTACATTTATTCAAGTACAGGTGGTTTTATAGCTCAAAAATACCTAGATAAACATGAAACTAGGCATTTTGACTGTGAGCAGGGTCGCCTCTCCACAGATCAGACGTGTAACTTGATCTGGTTTGGTCTCCATGAAGATAGAAAGGTTTAATGCCATACTGTGAAACATTCTAGACAAATCAATAACATCTCCATGGAGAAAAGCATTTGACGGAGCCTCCACCGGGAAAGTTACACGATGCAGCTTTAAAGTAGAATATTGTGAAATACTTTTAAAGGAACTGTGTGAAACCAGCGCTCTTACTGTTAAAAAAAAAAAAAGTACTACAATAATCCATGTGTCATTCGTTCATTCGTTTTTCAATATAAACCCAAAAATAAGAAAATGAAAAAAGAAGGATTTTCTTCATTATTTGTCTCCAAAACTAAAATGAAAAAACGGATAACAATTCAGTTTTTTCAGTTTTCAATTTTGTGTTTGGAATGGAAAAATGGATAATGGCCGTTTCCCGTTTCCGTGACTTAAACTGCGATGCCGGACTGAAACAAGACTAAACCAGGAGTGTCGGGACGGACCTGGAGGTGTGCTCGCGTAGACTGTCAGGTGATCAGGACTAAGACTGGGGCCAGACCAGGACCAGAACCAGGACTGAGACCAGTTTAGCCCTGGTTTAGCCCTTGTTTTAATCCTGGTTCAGTCCTCGTTTAGTCTTGGTTTAGTCCTGTTTTAGTCCTGGTTCAGTCCTGGTTCAGTCCTGTTTTAATCCTGGTTCAGTCCTCATTTAGTCTTGGTTTAGTCCTGTTTTAGTTCTGGTTCAGTCCTGATTTATTCCTGGTTAGGTCCTGGTTAGTCCTGGTTTTAGTCCTGGTTCGGTCCTGGTTCGGTCCTGGTTTAGTCCTGGTTTAGTCCTGGTTCAGTCCTGGTTCAGTCCTGGTTCAGTCCTATTTTAGTCCTGTTTTGGTCCTGGTTCGGTCCTGGTTCAGTCCTGGTTTAGTCCTGGTTCAGTCCTATTTTAGTTCTGTTTTAGTCCTGGTTCAGTCCGGCATTGCAGTTTAAGTCACGGAAACGGGAAATGTCCATTATCCGTTTTTTTCCATTATTCATTTAAACACAAAATCAAAAACTGAAAAATCGAAATCATTATCTGTTGTGAACAGAATGAATGAACGAATGATACACAAATTTACAACCACAACTGAACATTGTCAAAGCCTTAACCTGCAGATAGATAATCGAATTTTTTTAAATATCTATGAGAAAAATAAATGGAAAATTGACTTCAGAAACCATGGCAATTTCATTAAGAATAAAAATCTTATATACAGTTCCTTTAATGATAATTCCACAGTAATCTACTTTTTAAACCTAAACTTACCATCAAAAATTCACATAAAAATAATAGAAACTGTCCCTGCGGTCTGTATAAACTTTAGTGCTGTTTATGTAGTTTTACCTGAATACAACAACTGCAATCACACAGTCCGTTTGAAAGGCGCTCGTCCGGTCTGCGCCGCGAAGAAGACGAGACGGCCGACCTCAAGCCGCGGGGGATCTTCCTCCCTTTCCTCTGGTGGGTTTTTCAGTGTGCGTTTTGTGCTTTTTGTCCCGGGTTTGCTCACGTCCCGAGCGCGGTGTGGTCGACGAGGGCTTGCACCGTGACGCAGAGTTTCACCAGGCCCTTCTCCTCCAGGATGTGGTGAGGGAGACACAGTTTGTCCTGGGAAATATAGTCCAAAAACAGAACCAGGAAGTGGCAGAGGAGGGACAGAGGGGGCAGTAGGGAGCAAGGGAGAGTGGGTTATTTAGACACGATCATAAAAATATTAAACAAATAAAGTTAATGTATTTTGGAAGTGACGATTCAGGACCTACCCATGCACCAAATAAACTACAGTAAGTCCCAAAATATGTTTCATTGACAAACTGATGTCGTTTGGTTTAAGCGTGTCCAAACCGTGTGGCAGTCGTTCATTCGTTTTTCAAAATAAAACCAAAAATAAGAAAAGAAACAACTATTTTCTTCATTATTTGTCTCCAAAACCAAAATGAAAAAGTAGATAAGGATTCATTTTTTCAAGTTTTGATTTTGTGTTTAAATGAATAATGGAAAAAACGGATAATGGCTGTTTCCTGTTTCTGAAACTTAAACTGTGATGCTGGACCGAACCAGGACTAAACCAGGACTAAACCAGGACTAAACCAGGACTAAACCAGGACTAAACCAGGACTGAGTGTCGGGACGGGCCTGGAGGTGTGCTCGCGTAGACTGTCGGGTGATCGGGATTGAGACCGGGACTGAGACCGGGACCAGAACTGGGACCGGAACTGAGATCAGGACTGAAACCAGAACTGAGACCAGGACCGCAACTGAGACTGGAACCGAGACCGGGACCGAGACTGGAACTGAGACCAGGACCAGAACTGAGACAAAGATTGAGACTAGAACTGAGACCAGGACTGAGACCAGGACCGCAACCAAGACCGGAACCGAGACCGGGACCGCAACCAAGACCGGAACCGAGACCGGGACCGAGACCAGAACTGAGACCAGGATTGAGACTGGGACCAGACGCAGCCCAGACCGGGACTGAGACCAGGAATGACACCAGGACCAGATCGGGACTGAGACCGGTTTAGTCCTGGTTTAGTCTTCTTGTAGTCCTGTTTTAGTCCTGGTTCAGTCTTGGTCCTGGTCCCAGTCTGATCCTGGTCTTAGTCCTGGTCTCTGTCCCGGTCTCAGTCCTGATCACCCAACAGTCTACGAGGGCGCACCTCCAGGCCCATCCTGACACTCAGTCCTGGTTCAGTCCTGGTTCAGTCCTGGTTCAGTCCTGGTTCAGTCCTGGTTTCAGTCCAGCATCGCAGTTTAAGTTTCAGAAACGGGGAAATGGCGTTTTACATTTTTTCCATTATTCATTTAAATGCAAAATCGAAAACTGAAAAAACTGAATCATTATCTTTTTTTTTCATTTTGGTTTTGGAGACAAATCATGAAGAAAATAGTTTTTTTTTTTTTTCGTTTTCTTATTTTTGGTTTATTTTGAAAAACGAATGAATGAATGACACATGGATTGTGTATGACAGGTTTTCATGTGTTTCTTGGTTTGGTGGACAGTACCTGTGGTCAGTATTTATCGTAGCTTTACATGAGTTTAGTTGCTGTTTATGGAAAAACAGTTAAGAAGAAAAGTACAAAAATACAGGAAGTGGTGAGTTCTGGGGTGTTTTTCACACTGTCACTGATGTGGTCGATGTAAAAGAGCTCAGGCTGGTGTGAACTCTACAGTCACATTTCAGAGCACAGTAAAGAGCCACTATAAGGCCCCGTCCACACTAGCTCCAGCTCCCACGAATTCATGTGAGTACGGATCTGATCCAGCCTGAAAAAGCTGATACACTGATGTAGGTCTATGCGCTGCAAGGTAATTCACCGCCAAAACACTAAGAGGCTAGAATATATGTCCATTCATATATACGGTCTATGTATACGACCTGCAGACGTATAATCTCTGAAAAGTTTAACATGAATCATCTCCAACGCGATAGAAGCACAGAACAGACTCACCATCAGCAGAACATCCCTCTGTCACAGAAAGAACACTCATATTCCACTGAGTCGTGTCCTTTAGTCCGACAGAAGCGAGCTGTTTTTTTTGAGTGCTTAGTTTATGCTAATGAGCCATGTGGTTTTTAGTTTTGTTTCTGTAAAACGTTAACAAATATGCTCAAAGCTGTGTGGATAACTTGCATAAACTGAGTGCAAAAAAAAAACAGCTCGCTATTGTCAGCTTCTGTTGGAGTAAAGGACATGACTCAGTGGAATATGAGTGTTCTTTCTGTGACAGAGGGGTGTTCTGCTGATGGTGAGTCTGTTATGTGTTTCTGTGTTGGAGATGATTCATGTTAAACTTTTGAGAGATTATACGTCTGCAGATCGTACAAACAGACCGTTTATATGAATGGACATATATTCTAGCCTCTTAGTGTTTTGGCGGTGAATTACTTCGTGGTGCATAGACCTACATCAGAGTATCAGTGTTTTCAGGAGTCCACACGGTGCCGGATCAGATCTGTACTCAAATGAATTTGTGGGAGCTGGTGGCACCAGATCGTTCAGTCTCTGGAGGCGTTTTCAATCGGATTAGTGTGAACGAACACTGCATTCACAACAAAAATGAATTGAATACGTACTAGTGTGGACAGGGCCTGAGAGCGCCTCAAACAGGTGGTCTCAGAGCGCCTCCACTCTCTCTCTGGAGTGGAGTGAGAGCAGTGTGAACGTGGTTGACCTTTGGCTGATCTCCACAGTCTGCACTGACACTGACAGCTTGGTTTCTGCTCCTCTGTCTGCTCCTGCCTCCGTCTGTGCAGGTGAGCATGAGCCTTCACTGTGTGTTGTTTTCTCTTCTCTCTTTTATGGTTGCTTGGTAACAGTTTAGCAGCAGTTTAGTGAAATCAGTAGTTATTGTTTAGCCTGTCACATGCACTTCCAAACTTTAATTATAACACCTTCCCATGTTGGTTGGAAAATTAAACCTCAAACCTCGCTTAAACCTGTGTAAATCAGCTTGTTCATTTTGCATCTGAAAATGGTGAGACGACAAAATGTAAAGACAATGTAAAACTTTATTAGTTTGATGATGTCTGGGCTGAAACACATGTGCCCATACCCACATTCAGTGTAATGGGCTTCAACTCTGATAGCGTCACTGGTTAGTCCATATTGTCTGAACGTGAGTCCCTTAAAGGTCACAGGTAAACCCTCTGCTTATTAAACAAAACACTGTATTTCACTTCACACGCACATGAAGCCTGTTGGTACATTTACATGGCCAGAAGAAATCAGAGAACAGCATATCAGATAAACCCATAATTAGATCTGATTTCACAAGAGAAATCTGATCATCAAAAACCCCTGGTGAATGGATCTTTTGAAAAACTCTTATTTTTGGAAGACAAAGTACAGTGGATTTTAAAATACTCTTTTCAATCTTTCAAGGGACCATATTACTGTCATTCTGATCTATGTTCTAATGTTTCCTCATCACAAACACACCTGGAGTTGTGTTTAGTTTCATTCACACACGTTTAACACACAAACCTGCAGATTTAGTTCTTCTCTAAAACAGAAAACACTGTTCTATCTTCTAATGTCATGTGGTAATACAGGAAGTGCTCCACTGTGTTTTTTAACTTGATACTAGATCATTACTAGAATCATTTGGATCATTTCAGCTCTACAATTTCCAGTCAGTAGCTATTAACTTGAAAACTACCACTTCATGACATCATAAAGTGGAACAGAGCATCTGGAGCTTTGGAGATGCTGACAGACTAATAATCCAACATGTGTGAATGAAACAAAACATAACTCCAGGTGTGTTTTTGAGGAGGAAACATGAAGAGTCAATTTTGTGTAATATGGAACCTTTTTCATTTTTGTCAAACCTGCACCGGTGTGAACAGTCAGAAAGCAGTCCGATTACTCACCTCAGATGGACCTGTTTACATGACACTTCAATAATCTGATAACACCACAAATCAGATCATGATCAGATCATGAACAGATCATGATCAGATCATGAACAGATCATGAACAGATCATGAACAGATCATGAACAGCCAGTGTGACATGTGGATTTGGGGTTTTCAATTTAAAACACTCTTTCCTGAAGATACAGATGCAACAAATTTGTGCAGAAATTTTCATTTAGGGATTCAAAATACTTAAAAAATCTAAATCTGAAGACAAAAATTCTCTTCCAAACATGTCCCTAATATGAGAACAGTATAAAGCCTGTTAGTGTAAATGCTGAAGAGAAATAGCATGATAAAAGTACAGTGGACTGTGTGTGTGTGTGTGTGTGTGTGTTGTTGCATAGTCTGATAACTTATTATATACTTATTATACCTTATATATCATTAATATAAATCATGTATATACAAAATATAGGGTAACTAATAATGTTACAATATTACAGAGTCATTTATAAAGTTGAACATTTCAGGCCTTTTCATTCAGTGATGGCTTCAGACTGTGTGCTGTTTCTTAAAGTTTGTGCTAAATCAGAAAGTACATAATGTGTTCTGTACAACTCTAAACCCAGAGTCTTCCAGACCAGAGACTAGTTCAAATGGTCTGGAGCAGACCTTCCCAAAGTCTATGTGCCACAGTCCCCATGTCTATGTGCAGATCACACAGGGACCCTCCAGTCATATTTTACACTAAATATAAAAGAGTATGTCATGTTTTCTCCTTAGATTTACATGTTAAAACAACACATTCCAGTTCCATTAATACTAATATAATGAAATATAAACAAATATCTTATATAAAGTTGATTTAAAACTCTTATTTTCTTTCTTGCTTGTTGTGTGGACAACCTTGGGGGCCCCTGCAATGCTTCTGCACAGCCCCCCCAGTCCTGACAATAAACTGTAGAGTAGTCTGTAGTAGACTGTAGTCTTAACTCTAAAGGTGTTAACCTCTTATTGAAACACACGTGTTGATGTTCAGTGCAGTTCTTCAGATGGATGCATGTACACAGCTCTGACAGAGTCACTGGGACACTGAATAAGGCCTAGAGCATCCACACGTCTGTACCACCACACAAAGGCTTCTTATTGAGGCTATGATATGAAAGGTACAGTATGGAACTTTCTGTATGTGGCACATTTACCCACATGGTTCCATGGAAACTGAAAGTTAAAACCATA